AAATAAGAAAATTGATATAGAGATGAAACATATATTATTAAGACCATCAATTCCTTGTGAAAAACAATTTTTTCATCTTCTTCCTCATTACCTACCTTTTATAGCATTGAAGAGACAGAGGGTAAAATCTGCATAAAGTTTTAAGGAACAAAACATAGTGAAAAACTGGAAGTTTTTCCTTCTCTTCCCATCAACAAAGCCAGCTGCCCATGTCATCCTAAAGTCCTTTACCAGTAATCAGGTGCAGCTGGCTGGATGTAAAAATGCTTGAAGAAAAGGACTGCTTTGAACTTGTGGGGTATTTATCACAGACTGAGTTCTTCCTTCTCTCTCTGTGTCCAATCCAAAGAAATTGAAAAGTTATTTGGAACTTAGAGCTCAGACACAAAGAAGAAGGAATGGCAAGTTAGATCACAAAGTCCCTGTACTCATGTGCTCAGGGTTGCTTCCGGCCAAATTTTAGAACACATGCTGAGATAATGGGCCAGAAGAGCTCTTTCTAGTCAAACCATAACAGAGTACCATGGGCCTCGCTGCCCTTGAGGAAGAGATTACAAGCTGCAGATTTCAATGGAGTTCATTGAAGTCCACATGGGTTGAGATGAATTTGCCCATGATTACAGAATACATAAAGGATTCAACAGTGCCTTCCTCCAAAAGAACAGAAAATTTCCATTCTCCTATTTCAAAGGAAGTGTTTACCGGGTCACTCTGGAGACTACTTTGCCAAGTTCTGGTGTGGCACTTTAAAAACTCAGGAGCTGTCATTCTCATTCTCACACACACAAAATAGAAATTAAACACACACACACACACACACACACACACACACACACACACACACCCTGCAGAAAACCCAACCAAACAAAAATAAAAGTAAAAGAAACTTGAAATGAACAAATCTTCTTAGATCCACCAGAGCCTTGATGTCACAGGCAATACTGACATCTCCAAAACAGGAAAAAAGAAAAAAATATATATGGTATTGTGAATATGCCCCAACTATTCTGTTATTCACAAGGCTTGCATTAAAAAAGAAATAAAATACATATATATGTATTTTTTTTCACCCAAATCTACTGCAAAGATGATAAAGAATGACAACAACAACAACAACAAAAAACGAACACAATATCCATGAACCCTAGGGCAACTTTTAACACGGGGTCTGAAATACATGTAATGGGAATACTTGAAGAAAAATAGACAGAAAGAAACAAGAAAGATAAGTGAGGGAAGAGTCACTAAAATTTCCTAAAACTCATAATAGATGACATACTGTTAGTCCAGAAAACTCTAAAACAGAAAACATAAAAAACACCAAATATGTATACCTAAGTATACCATATTCAAATTAGAAATCAAAAACTAAGAGAATGTATTGAAAGAAGCCAGAAGGGGAAACAGACTATAGGTATAGAGAAACAAAGATGTGAATTAAATCGAACTTCTTTTCAGGAAAACACACACACACACACACACACACACACAAAGAACGGAGTGCAGTGAAATATTGAATGTTTTGAAATTAAAACAACACTCTCATAAAACTGTGTCAAGCAAAATTATCCTTCAAAAATAAAAGAGAAATAAGGACTTTCTGAGACACAAATAGAGGAAATCTGTCACTAATAGATCTACTTTGAAATGTTTCACAGTTCATCAAAAGAATGTAAATGATAAAGGTAGAGTAGCAGAAAAGGAATTAATAAAGATAAAACATCTTTTGTATTTCTTATATAACTCATGACACTTAAAATAATATTAGCAATAATTTAATATTAATAAAAATGTTTATGGGTAGTTGAAATAAATGATAGCAATGTGACAAGGAAAAGTGGAGGAGGGGTTGGGAATAGTGTGGTATGTGGTACTTGTACAACCAGTGAAGTGGCGGAGTGTTACTTGATATAGGATTGTGTGTTAGTTGTAAATGTGTACTCAGAACTGAAACTACTACTATCAGAAAGGAAAAAAGGGGGAAAGGAAAATAAAGGATTTGATAGGGCAACAGCTAAAAAAGTTCTTTTTTTAAATGTGTGACTGATATGCTATTAGAGAAATAAAAAATTAGGTAAAACGCTCAATTAAAGCTAAAGCAAGCAGACAAAAAGATTGAAGACAAAAAGAAATAAAGAACAAAGGAAACAAATGGAAAACAGTAAAAACATTTGGTAAACATTAATCTAACAGTATCAAAACCCACTTTAATCATCAATAGTATCAATATAATTGAAAAATACAGTAGTATCAGAGTTTCAAAAATCACACTTACTTATATGTTGTCCACAAGAAACCCACTTTAAATATGTAGACAGATGAAAGGTAAAGGGATGGAGGAAAATAAACCATGCCAACGGCAAGCAAAGGACACTGGCATGGGTATGTGATTTATAAACAACCGCGATTTCAAACCAAGGAAAACTCCAGCGATAAAGAGGGACACTGCATGATGACAAAGGGGTCCATCTCCAGGAAGGCACAGCAGTCTTTTAGGTGTATATATGCACAGCAAAACAGAGGCAAAATATATAAGGTGAGGGCTGACAAAATGCAAGGAGAAACAGACTCAGCTGCTGTGGCTGGAGACTTCAATACCCCCTTATCGTGAATTATAAATTCCAGGAGCAGAAAATCAGGAAGGACGGAGTAGAACTGAGCAGCACTCTGAAACAGCTGGATTTAATGGTAACCAACGGAATACTTCATGCAACAGTAGCAGAATATGCATTCTTCTCAAGTTCACATAGAACATTCGCCAAGACAGAACTCATCCTAGGACACAAAGCACACCTTAAAATTTTGAAAGAACAGGAATCATACAAAATATGCTTTTAGACCACACAGGAATTCACCCAGAAATCAGCAACATGAAGAGAGTTGGAAAACCCCTAAATACATGCAGATTCAAAAATACACAGGATCAAAGGGGTCTTGAGAGAAATGAAAAATTATTTTGAACCAAATAAAATGAAAACACAATGTAGCAAAGTTTGTAGGATGCAGCAAAAGCAATGCCTGGAGGGAAATTTATGGCACTGAACAAGTACACTAAAAAAAAAAAAAATCTATACTCAATAATGTAAGCAACTACCCTAAGAAACAATTTAAAAAGAATAAACTGAAAGTAAACAGAATAAAAGAAATAATAAAAATTATGAAAAAGTCAATAGTATTGTAGAAAATCAATGGAGAAAAAAAATTTTTAAGTTGCTTCTTTGACAAGATAAATAAAACTGGTAAACATCTAAACAAGATAACTCAGAAAAGAGGCAGAAATTACTACCATCAGAAAGGAAATAGGGAGGAAATGAAAACAAAAAAGGATTTGATAAAACTGAACATTTGCTTAGGATAACAAACTGCCAATAGAGGGAAACTTCCACTTCTTGCAAAAGAACGTCTTCACAAAACCTGTAGCTAAATCTACCGCTTTTATTCCTCACAACATGAGTGTCTACATTAAACACCAGAAAGAACCCACACAGGTAACTCCTGGAATTAATAAGAGACTAAAACAAAGATTAAGGAAACACAAGTTAACTGCTTTCCTATAGACCCACACAAGTACACTCAACCGATCTTTGACAGAGGAAGTAAGGCAATTCAATGGTAAAAGGAAGATTTTTAACTAATAACGCTGGCAATAACACATGAACATACACGAAACAAATATAGACACAGGCCTCACACATTTCACAAAAATTAACTCAAAACACATCACAGATCTAAAATGTAAAATGCAAAAATAATAAACTTCTACACGATAACACGAAAAAATCTAGGTGCAAAGAAAACAACGAGGTATCACTATGCACTTATTAAATACTCAGAACACCAAATGCTGGTGGAGATGTGAACGCGCAGGCAATCCGCACTCGCTGCTGGTGGGAACGGGACTGGGTACGCCTACACTGGAGACAGGGACTTTTTTTCAAAACAAAATGTACTCTTACTACACATAGTGAGATCCAGCAATCATGCTCCTTGGCATTGACCTAAATGGACTGAAACCTTATGTCCACACAAAAACCTGTACATGAATATTTGTAGGCACTTTATTCATAATTAGCAAGAGTTAGAGTTAAGTAAGGTGTCCTTTGAAAAGCAGACAATCAATGGTAAATCCATGCAATGTAATAAAAAAGAGGGATTAAGCCATGAAAAGACATGGGGGAACCTTAAAAGTACATTGCTAAGAGAAAGCAGCCAATCTCACAAGGTTACACACTGTATGATTCCACTGTATGGGGCATTCTGGAAAAGACAAAACCACGAGCCCATAAAAAGATCTCTGGGTCTGAAGGATTAGGGTTAGAGGGAGGAATGAATGACTAAGGGGAGCACAGAAGATTTCTGGGAAGTAAAACTATAATACGGTATATAAAAATGATGGATATACATTATTACAAGTCTCAAAACCCATAGATCTTATAACATAAAGTCAACATTAATATAAACAGGGCACTTCACTGCATCAATACTGGTTCAGCAATTGTAAATAATGCATCACAGTCATACAAGATTTAAAAAATAATGCAAACTGTGTGGATGCACTGTGCTCTCTGAACAATTTTTCTGTAAGCCTAAAATGGCTTTTAAAAAACTGAAGTCTATCAACAATCAAAAAAGATGAAGGCAGACTCACTACAATTCACCCTTGATGACTGACTGATGGAAGAAACAGGCCACATATCATTCAACTCATCAGACCTTATGTCAATACGCCAATGCAA